TTTTCTAGACCGGAGCGGCTATTTCCTTAAAACAGCTCCTTAACTATCTTCACGCGACTCAGTGGACTCCGTTCCAGACCCACTACTTCTCAGAAAATCTGGTAGCGCTGGGAATCGAACCCGGGACCTCTGGATCTGTAGCCAGGAACTCTGACCACTAGACCATAGAGGCGGTCGGCAACACTGACTTGCCTAATCATTTTTTCCATCTCTTCATGGTAAGCAACAGGAGGTGTACAGTTCACTTAGAACGAAACATATGTTTCCTTAATTTCATAAATGATTTCAGCTTTTATTCTGTTACCAGCAGATCAGTAAACTCATCCTGGATTTTATTTTAAAATCAAAACAGAGAAGGAGTGTTGTGCTTCGAACTACTCGCTTCAAAGGATGCATTACGGTTACTAATTATTTCCTAATATTCACGCACATATGCACATATACATTAAAAAGTCTCTGTTTAGAATTGTATCTTTGGAACGCCTAAATTTCATAGTATTTCTATTCTTGCACAATATGGAATGATCTGCAAAATACATCTGAAAATTTCTTGTTACTTTTGCGTTTCTGATTCGACTGATAAAAGACCATCTTTCATTCTTGTGTATAACATGTTTGCAGTGTATGATAGAAATACGATACCTAAACTGCAAAAGCTAGAATTGCTCAGTCTGTAAAAGTACGGTATGTAATGTGTTGTCAGCTCTGAAACTAGTAATTACTAGTAAAAAGTCAGAGACTTTATGACGGACGTTTCATTATCGAGACATCAAAAATTTAATAAAGAACAACAGCACAGGCCAATTAGATAACAAAATAGGCCTCAAAACTTTTCACTGTTATTACCCGACTCTGTAAAACGCTGCTCACATAAAATACATAAAAGTAATTTGAAATCAAAAAGCCTTGTTACACTCACATCACGGCGAACCAATGCAGCTCGCCACATGAACCAAGAAACACATATATACATCAGTTAATTATATCTGAAAGAATTTTATATTATTATTTTCTTATTGCTAGTGGGGTGGGACTAAGTTCCTTGTACTGCGGCCACTTCTGGCCTATTGTACCAGCCCCAGATGATAGGTGAGGGTGATTGTGGAGCAATTGGTGGAATGAAGATTGGCAGGGGAAACCGAAGTACTCGGAGAAAACCTGCCCCAGCGCCACTTTGTCCGCTACAAATCCCACTTGACCAGACCGACTAACCGCTTGAGCTAGGGCGCGGACAGAATTTTATACTGAGTGCCAATTACTTTTGCTTAGACTTCTGCATTTTTTCGATTTTTTGGTTTCACTCTTGTTTTAGTGTACTTATCCTTGTGCAACTTTCCAATGTACGCGTTATCTAAGTCCTGCTTCAAGCAAAGGCTGAAATTCGACTTTTAATAATACAGTATATCTTGTGGCCTGATGAAGAGCTCCATGGGACAGGGTCCTTCTAGAAATGTTAACAGTCACTGAGCTAGCCACATATATTCCGTCCTTTTATGGAGCCCGTGTTCACAGAAGAATTTTACTGGTCCTTATCCTAAACCATATGAATTTAGCCACGCTAATCAACCAGATAACTTTGAAGATCCGTTTTAATATTATGTTCCCATATACACTTATATCTTAGAACAGATCTCTGTGTATATCTTCCCTATCTCACTCTCCTTAACTTGATAACAGTAATAACATTTGGTGAAGAGCAGTAATACGGAAACTCTTCATTATGTAAATTTTTACGCTATCTTGTCTCTTCCTCCCTCTTACGTCCAAATATTTATCGTCTACCCAACTGACAGATATTGTTGCATTTTAATTTGCAGGGACAGTACTGAGGGTACAACTTCTTGTGCTCGTACACTATTGATATGCTACGTTGCCACTTTTAAAATAAATGTCACTTCTGGGACTTAAAAAGGCCATCATCTGCTACACACTTGTACGCAACTGCTGCTCTGTATCGCTTTTTGTTGTTCGTTGTTCTAAAACTTAGTTAACATTTGTTCAAATTATTGTTGGATTTTGTTAAAACATTTTTTTATCTTTTAAGCTGGTACTTCGCATTTTGACCAAGTTTTAAAACAATGAACCAGAAAAGGCACTACAGTGCAACAATTACATAAAAGTATCTGACAGATAATGACGTTATAAGGTCGCAAATACGAGTATAACAGTTATAGAAAGGTGACAATATAATACACCAACATTCTTCGAGCACCACAAGTGCTTGCACCTTCAAGACTACTCCTGCAAATCAAAACATTAACCAGTGCAACAGGGTGCCTAAACACAATATTACTGTTGTTGCCATATTTTTATCTGGGATCTGGGTCCCGATGAGGTGGATTTTTCTATTGATCTAATCCTTCCAGCCGCACTATGGCCCTAGGGTCGACTCAGCCTCTAACATAAATAAGTACCAGGAATCTTCTTGGGGGTTAAGGGCGGCCGGCGCGTAAGGCTGACAAACTTATCACTGCGAGCCGATTGCCTAGAGAAAATGTGGGAGCCTCGACGTCTCACAAGCCTAGGGTCCTTCACGGCCTGTTACAGGGATAGCCTACATGCCTTTGGTAAAGGTAAAAGGTAAACGCTCTTCCAAAAGGGACAGTAAACACAACAATAACAACTCAATAAGTCAAAATAGATGCTAACGTACCAACATTTGTTTATTCCCGCAATTCTGATTGCGACATGTTTCAACCTTTCAAAGCATGCTTTGACACAGTTCATGGACTTACGCTATGATTGTGTATTGCCTGAGGATGACCTAAAAAGGAAGGTCGGAACATGACGCAATCAGAACTGCGCGAATAAACAAATGTTGATATGATGACATCTAATTTGCCTTATTGAGTTGTTATTGTTGTGTTGACTGCTCCATTTGGAAAGTACGTTAAGACACACGACGGGATGCATACTTTCAAAGTTCTTTTTTTATTTTTTTTATCATTTATTAGCAATCTGAATTTGCATTCTATAAGCTAATTTGCTGTCATGTACAATAATTATTCTATTGTAC